CTAATCCGGAATCGCCGAAGTCCCGACGAGTCCGAATTACGGACTTTGTCCGGATTACAGAATATTGTATTGTATTCCTTCAGAAATTTTACCATAGTAGCTTCTATTGCTGGCAAATCCCACAAGTGCATATTTTAAAATTGAATTTGAGGCAAAAATTATTTCAGTTTGTTTATAAAAACTATTGGATTTTGGAATACAACAAAAGAACAGTAATTAAAATGGTGACACTGATTGACTGAAAAATTTTTATGATGATAATTACCTTAAAGATGATTGCCAGAGTTTGGTGTAATCTGAAAATTTGGCAACTTTTACTGAGGTGATTGCAATAATATGTTAGTACCAATAAATCTTACAAACTTGGTGATTATTGGGAACTTTACTGTGATTTAATTTCTCTTATATGCATTACAATGGATGCGTTTCAATATACTTATTACATAAAATTTGATCATACGTAAAATGCAATAATAATCTTTCTGATCAAAAACTACTTTTCGTTAATAAAATTTTATTATAGCTGCTACAAATTTGTTGGAATTCAATATCAGCTATTTTTTTCTAGATATTCATCTCACATTTTGTAGTCACATGATAAGTAAACATATATGCTGATACTTTCTAACACATTTTATTCAAATGCAGTAAAATTTCAGAATATTATTTAAGAAAATATACCTTACATTTAATTAAATTATTTAAAAAACATTTTATTCACTTTAGTTTTTAACTTTAGACTGCTAAAATATTGTAGTTGTTTCTATTACTGTGTGTAAAATTTATTGTAACTTTTCTTTTTTTCTGTATTATTTAACTTTTAGGATTAAAAAGGCTTTTCTTTGTAGGGTGACCCAGGGGATGGTGGCATCAATTCTATCGGTGTTCGAGGTGATCCTGGTGAACCCGGTCGTCCTGGTGTTGCTGTTAGTAATATTTTTTAATAGAACTATTTTTATCTTTTGTATTTTTTAAAACAAATTGTTTGCATGCTATATTATACATTTTATTTGATAATTTTACTTATTTTTAGGGTTATGTAGGTTTTTCTGGATTTAGTGGTGAAAAAGGAATGCGTGGTGATCCAGGGCTTCCTGTAAGTCAATTTTAATTTGATATCTCACCTCAGTTAAGTTTTTAACATGAAATGTAAGTACTGTACATGTATTTAAATTATTGAAAATAATTAATTAAGCCAATTATTAAAGGCAGTTATTTTAGAAGTCATGTCTTTGCAGAAAGTCCTTTTATTTAACTACATTGTTCATTTATCTGCTTTTTAATAGATATATTTGGTTTTGTTATATACAGTACAAAGTCTGAGATCCTTATGTCCAATATCCGGAATGACTTAAAATTTGGACCTCAAAGGCATCACCAATTTTTTTTTTTGGGGGGGGTATGCTTTATGTATGTGTGTTTAATCACCCCACACACACACATAGTAAAACATGTGGAGAGTTCCGATTCTTAATTTCACTTAGGCACTAAATAAAATGCCTCGTTATTGAAGAAATAATTATTTTAGCATAAATTTGTATGATCAATAATTTAGATCCATAGCTGTGTATCTGCTTGGCATACACCTCAAACCGAAACATTCTACATTTAATTTTACACTTACTAATATTTTATACCTTTGACGCCAACCTGGCAGATCATTATTCATTGTATTTTGCTTTCATCACCGCATGTTATCAACACACGACAAATTGAGTAATGACTTATGTAGTGATGCCTAAATGATTTTTTTATATATATTAGTAATGGAATAACAAACAGTGTGGTAACCTTTTATGTTGACGTTATGCTTGGTGATGATTACAGATTTAAGTTAAATATGCTAAGAAACGTTGACGAGGAAAAAATTTAACAAAAATTTCTTTCTGTATGCTAAAAATATAATTTATTAATTATATTCATAGGCCAAAGATTACATTTAGTGCTGTTTGAATTAAGAATAACTGATTTTTTATCCGCATAAACCCAGAACCAGCGCCAGGGTTCGTATGGTCATGCCAGGCGGCAGAATTTAGGGAAAACAAAGGGAGGTGCTTGGTAGTAGAATTTAGGACCTGCAGAGACTGCTTCAGGTAGTAAGATATCTAGCACCAGCCCTTAATAAGCCTTTAAGTATATGTGGGAATTTATTTATTCAGGTTTCAGATAAGCCTTAAGCATGTGCAAGAATTAGACGTAAGTATAATAAATAACTAAACTAATACAATTCAGACTTAATTGTCTTAGTTCATGATAGCCAAAGCTGTATGTATGCTCTTGAAGCAGCTTTGATAGAAGCAAGATAAAATTTAGCGGAACAACTTGTCTTTAGTAGCCAATCTCATGATACATGACCAAACGTGTATAGTGAACGACAGCTAAATTTTATGTTGATAGCCGGGAATTTGAAGGTTTTTCGGATATCGTAAACCAAAGGTGAAATTTTCCAATTAACAGATTCTGTAAAGAAATGTGGACAAGTGGTAATAAATGGAAATGATATAAAAGAAGTTTCTCATTTTAGTGACAATGCTTTCCAATCATCAATAAATTAATGGATGGTGAAATCTGTAGTATGGTTCTAGATCCACAAAATACCACTACAGTAAGACATTATATTTACTAAAGTGAAAGTGTTACTAAAGTGAAGAAAATGACAGAGAAGTTACTGAAAATGAAAAATTTCGATTGACAAGTTAGTCGGAATTCTCGACACAACAATTACATGACTTCAACAATGGAACTTTGTAACTGAACAAGAAATTATCTAAGGAACAAGAAATTATGTAAGGGAAAGTATTAGTATAAAAAAAGAAGCAACTTAAATAACGTACATTGAAAGACATGTTTAATAAAGTAAAATAATAAATATTAAGCTTTTTTTATACCTTTTAGATCATAAATGCTTCATTATTTCATACATTACGATTTCATGTTTTTAATTTTATAATTTGTACATCCCATCTTAGTAGATTTAATCTCATGATCTAATATCGGAAAAATCTGGAATCGCGGAAGTCAGAACGAGTCTGGATCTCAGACTTTGTACTGTATTCATATTGTTATGTGTTTAGTTTAGCTTTATTAATGAGCTATTACTAGTTTTTATTTATTGCATGATGTCTGAGTTATTCAACGGGATCTGTGTGTGTTTTTGCTTGCAAATTAATTACATTTTCATAACATTATGAAATAGAGCCATTGCCAGAATAAGTTTATAAAATTCAAAAAGATTTTTCTTCCATGGTATCTTAAAATTTTGTGAAATTCTGAACTTTTACCAGAAAATTCTGTAAAACTTTTTTCAAAAGGTAATTGTGTGCTTGACTAAAATTATTTGATACTATTGGTTATTATTTAGACTAGGGGTAGAATAACATAATCTAATTGAGATACAAAGCTTTGATATTACTGAAAAAAATAATTGCTTTGCTTGATTTAATCAAGAACTGCATTCTACTAACATCTAATGGAGATAAATGTCAGTATAATGTAGACTTGCATATTTTGGTGCATTAGTAATTTTAACTAAAGTACACAAATGAAAGCATTCAGAGAATAGGAAAATAAAGTACTGTATCCACTGCTTATTAAACTTACTGGTTAGTAGAATCATCCACTTATTATGTTCAGTTTCTAGAAACCATCACAAATAAATACTAATCAATCGAAATGCCACCATTTATTGGACTTATCTCCACTGTTTGTAAAACTCAGATTTACTATAAAATTCTCCAGTACCAGAATATCCTATTTGTATCTATCAAAAAAAGCTCTTTGTGGTACCTTCACTTTTATTGTGGACCGTGGCTTCTTTATTGTTCAAGTATGTAATGCTTCAGTAATGAAAGTTTGACCAAAATGTGTCTATCCTATGATACATATAACCTGTAGAGCACTTTCTTCAGAGCTCTTTGTCAGCACTGAAACTCAGAAGGGCAGACTTTCTTTATCTTAGGGTTAAAAAAGCCTCTATAAGAATTGTAAGTGGTGCATGCTCCTTCTAGAATACCAACTGATAAGAGGTGGAAGTATAACTTTTGCATCCTATCATCTAAGGTTTCTATGTTCAGAATCTTCCCTTTGGATGTTATATTCACAAAGATTCCCCCCCCCCAAAAAAAAACAAAAGTTCAAGAAATGCTTTTCAGGATTACCGTACAATAAAGTCTTTGAATAGAAAGGAAGAGTAACTGTAGGTGGAAGAAAAATCAATGAAATCATTGGTCATACATTGCAATCTTGAAGCAAGAGCCTGATCATCATGTTGCTGATAACTGGATTAAAAATATTTTACTTGGGCTACTAAATGAATACTAGCCACACATTTATAACACAAATGAAACTGGATTATGCTACAGAACATTATCAAAGTATACATTACTGTATAAAATGGAAACAACAGCTGTGTAAAGTAAGTGAAACTAAATGCTGTGTTATTAGCATGCAGTGTGGACCCAACAATTGAGAAGATAATGGCTGGTTATCAACAAAAGCAGAAATCTCAATGTTTGAATGGAATCAAAAATTTACCTTTAAGTTACCATAGCAAGAAGATCTTATGGATGACAAATAGTATTTTTTATGTTTTTCTTTTGAAATGGGGCACTGATTGAAGAATGAAAGAGTAGTGTCACTAATTAGACAATTAAGCAGCACACTCACCTCTGAACTCATTCTGAAAAATACGAGAGTTGGAACTTTAATAGTGGCAACACAGCAGTAAAAACGCTACGCAACAAAACCAAAGAATATCGGGTATACCACACGTAAACTACATACCTTTCTACCTCAGCAAAAGACTCGTCCGCCTACTACGCGCATGCGGAGTACGTGAAGAATGGATCCTTGTATTAGCTCGCGGTCTAAAGTAAGTGTTGTCAGGATGTTTTCAAAACAAAGAACAACGATGTTGGATAAAAATGAAGTGCCAGAGGTCGTACAGCACGACAGTGTCATCAAGGGCTTCAAGAGGCTTGCGGGAATCTGCATCGCCTTACAGAACCGTAGCAAGATGGGTGAAAGCATTCAATGAAGGACGCCAAAACATTGCAGACATGTGCGGCCAGGTCGTCGAGTGTCAGCGATGCAGACGGCAAGCTGTTGCCGCACTAATGAACAGTGATCCGGCCAACGATTCGTCAGCTGGCCGGACAAACAGGATAGCGCATACGACTGTGCTGCAATTCTGAAGGAACGCCTGTCCATGAGAAAAATTGCTTCACGATGGGTTCCACATCAATTGACGGAAATGCAGAAATGGCTACGATACAATGCTGCCCGAACCCACCTGGAGCGCTATGAGCGCGAAGGAGATGCTTTTTTACGCCGTATCATTATGCTGGATGAGACTTGGGCCCGATCCTAACAGCCAGAACTGAAACACCAATCAAACGAATGACGTCATCACGGGTCACCACGACAATCGAAATTTCGTCAGAACCCCAGCAATGTGAAAGTTATGGTGATTCTCGTGTACGACTGTGATGGTGTCTTCCTAACGCATACCGTTCCCCCACAGCAGACCGTCACTGTGCAGTATTACTGCTCATTTTTGGAGCACAATCTCTGACCAGCTTTGAGAAAAAAACGACGACACTTTCTGTAGAACGTTCCTCTCATTTTGCATGACAATGCTCGGCCGCATGCAGTGCAAGCTGTGACTGATTTGTTCAAGCGATGCGGCTGGGAAGTGCTTTACCGTCCACCATACTCCCCAGATCTAAGCCCTTGTGACTATGACTTAATTCCTAAGATGAAGGAACCACTTCGTGGCACTCGCTTCCAAACTGTTCCTGAGATTCTTACAGCAGTAGACCGGTCCATTCAAACTATCAACAAAACAGACGCTGCTACAGGTATTCTGTGACTTCCACATCGTTGGAAACGGGTTGTACACAATGCTGGCAACTATATTGAAGAACTGTAAAACATGGTGACATGAATCACTTTTGTATTCCTTGTAAATAAATAGTTGCCACTATTAAAGTTCCAACCCTCGTATTAGTGTCTCTTCCTAAAAGTATAACGTCTACTATTCAGCTTTTAGATCAGGATATTATAACAGCTTTCAAATATTATTACAGAAAAATATATAGAAAATGATAAACAGAAGCTTAGGAGGAGCTACTGTTTCAGACATCAGTGGAGGAAGTTATGAATGTTCATTTTTAGAATATGTGTCAGTTGATAACAGTATTTACAACACATATGAAAACTGTGATGTTAGAGAAGATGTTAAAAGAACTGCAGAAACTGGCAGTGAAAGGGATGCAGAAAAAAGTTATGGCATGCTAATGTCAATCGAATTTAGAAAAGCCCTCCAATTTTCAGAAAACTCTTGAACTGAAAGGTACTGATCAATAAAGCTACCAGCAGTTTTATGAAATTGAGAAAATCTACAACTGAAACGCAACAGCATTGATGAACAATATGAAACAAATACAGAGTTTGTAAAAGTAAAACAATTCATCAAGCACATAATTTTTAAAAAAATTAAAAATAAATTTCAAAATTGTATAAATGGTTTAATTTTTAGCCCAAAGGAGCATTACTCCAGAAATGCTATTAATCTCGAAATGGCATTTTGCATTGAATCACTATATCAGACATGTTTATTACTCTTGATTCTTTAAACAAAAATAGCATGCAGCTGGCACTTTGTGAAGAAGAGAAAGATGAGACAGAAGCTGGAGTCATCATTTAATTATTTACAAGGTAACCAAAATTCTCCTTGCTATTTTTGATATCCCATTTGATGAAGTTTTTGCTCACAGAAAGCAAATGAAGCATCTCATATATTAGAAAAGTGTTGGAGTGTTAATGCAGCTGCTCACTCTCCTCGGTTTGGGCATATTGAGCATACATGACAATGACAGCTCATCCAGTGTCAAAATGATATAGAGCTATCAAAGTAGCATATTCATGGTTGTTTCCTGTATGACTTTAAGGGGGGCTATCAGCAGCTGCATCAAGATGTTGAATGCATCAAGTATTTATGGAGGATATCACACCCAATAATGAAAAACCATACCACCAGAACATTGATTCCGGAAGTTTAAATTGGGAGAGCTGAGATTTATGATGAACCCTGCAGTGGGTAACCATAGGTGTTGAATGGCTTTGTTGTGAATGCAGCCATAGAAAATAACAGCAGTTATACATATGGTGAACTTGCTATTGGCTTCCAGGTTTCCAAGGGAACAGTCAGATTTCACCTGTATCTCTTAGGGAAGATGTGCAAGTTGAGCAAATGAGTATTCCACAAATTGTGATAGCCAACAAAGAACAGTGAATGACAGGCTTGTTCATCATTGCTGTCCCACTGCAATATACTCATACATATTTAGTTGAGTGCTATGTCCAGTATGACACTCCCTAGGATATTAGACACTGGCTCTCATTACATGACCTTGACCTTACACCTCAAAGCTACCTCTGCACCTATTTACGATTATGCCATGTATTTAGTGGACTAATTGCCAAGTGGTGCATTTATGAGCTATTACCCCCAGGCCACACCATCACTGCAGATTTTAGCATACTATATTACCTCTTCTTCCACTCTCTCTGGACAGCCACCTCCATGGAAAATCCTTTGACAGTGAGGCAGACCACTAACATTCACTCACAGACTTCTTTGAATCCAAGACTCCCCAAATTGGGTCATCATGATATTGCGTAGCTACTGGAACTTGGCAAATGATGCTAGATGCTGATGGACATTGTCAATACCTAACTTCTGAGTTTACTTCACTGAGCAGCATGTATTGTTTTTCTGTCTCTTTCTGGCAATTTTGAATGGCTTGATTTCTTTGTAAGCACATCATGTAAACCAGATGGGCTCAGGGTTTGGCTTTTCCCTTTTTAATATGGGCTAAGAGCATTTTGTATGATATTGTTTCATTGCCTGTGAACATTGGCAGTCACTTTTAATTCAGCAAATCATAGTACAACTAGCTTTTTCCTTTGATGAAGCAGAAAATGCTTAACATAAGTAATTCACCCAGGTTTAGTTTCTAGCCATTGAATGTAATGACTGCATGAAATTCTTATTTTGTGTGTGTTTAATGTTAGTATGAGCCTATTTACCTTAAAAATACTCCATGAAGTTTTCTCTTTCCCTTCATACTTTGCCTTTATCATCTAAGCCAATCCAGTCCTTTCATGAAGCCTTCATTGTCTAAGATACAATCAGATCACTGTACATTTGCAAGAGTTGCAACTTTCTAAGGTGAAAACATTTTTATAAGTTTTTTAATTTAGATGATAGCTGTTTTTTATATCATTAAGGGCAAATATTTTGTAGAAAATTGAAGTTGTATTTATTTGCACAAACATATCCATGTTTGTAATGTTTGAAAAGTAGGCTATATTATATATATAAGTAGGCTGACTATATTTCTTCACATATATTTAACTGAGTGTAAGGTAAGGAAATCTTTGCATCTCAGTCTAATCATGTGTGTGTAATACTTTTATGTTTGTTTCCTTTCAGGGTCTTATGGGTTTGCCAGGTGATAAAGGTTTAAAGGGCAGAGAAGGTGAAAGTGTAGAAGGTCAAAAGGGACAGAAAGTAAGATTATTTTATTTATCTAAATTACAAAATACCTTTTGTATTTGGCATTTTTTAGTTTTAATACTTTTCTTTAGGGAGAACCTGGATCTCCTGGTTCACCAGGACCACCAGGCCCTGATGTTGCTGGTAGTGATAAACCAGAAGATGAAATATTTAATTATCTGCAAGGTCATAAAGGAGCTGAAGGAGAAAAGGTACCAAATTATGGTATTATAAGTGTAATTAATTACCAAATAATCAAAATTTTGTGATAAAATAGTAATGATGAGCTATTATTTCTGTAGCATAGAACATTTGACAAATTCCCCCCCCCCAAATTATACAGATTTCCCCAAATTATCAGCATATATTCTAAAAAGAGTGAATAAACTTTTCATATGTAATAACTGACTAATAAAAATTTCCTCCATTTGGGGGGAGGGAAGACGAAGACCCAGAAAGAAAGATGCAAAAATTAAAAACATAAATTTTAAATAAAGTTTTTTTCCTAAGCACAAATTACAGTGTTATTCTTTGTAGTATGTTTTTTATATGATATTGTTGCGTGCGTATGGGTTTGTTATGAAAGGAATGCACAAGTCCGATGAAAAATGAACAAAAGTTTATTATTATCACAACAAAATGCTTAAATTTTCTCAAATTATGATGCAGTATTACAATATCTCACAGTAGTTATCTTTTAACTACTCAAATGTCCAATAGAACATAATTCAAAACAGCTAAAGAAAGCTAATTCGCGAATTCGCTACAATCAACAACAGCAGTTTTCTAAACAACAACAAACTAAGCAACTACTACAAACTGAGATGTTTTCCTCCTTTTATAAGATTTTAAAATCACGCGCTAGAATTTTCCAGTACTTTCTCGAAATCAAAAAGAGATATTTATTTATTTAATGCATGCGCTCTTGTATTTTCAATTTTCCGGCTTAGCTTTCTTTTAATATTCGTCACGCGCTGCACTACGCGAGAAATAAAACCATTTAATTTATAATTGAACTAACATTAGCTTTTTAAATACCAAATTCGTAACAATATTGTTTATCCGAATCTGAAGAAATTTACTTTCCCACACCTGATTATTTTTAGTTCTGTCTAGATTATGAAAGATTAATTTTTGCTTGAGAGTTTAATAATATTTTGTGTTCATAATAAATTAAATAAATCCTTTCAAAACTAATAATTAGAATCACTTAACTCTCAGTTTTATTAATGATTATAAATGTATGTATAAATCACGCAGTGCATAGTTTTACTATTATTTATTTTCAGGGAGAGAAAGGTGAAAAAGGACCTCGTGGCTTTGATGGGAGGCAAGGATCTCCTGTTAGTTGCTTTTAATTTAAGTATTACTAAAGTCTAAATATTCACTGAGTAAAAATTAAAAATCTATATTACAGTACAATTTTTAAATCTAAATTATTGCATCTTTTGCTATTAATTTAATTATATGTGAAATTTAAGTGAAGCAACTTGCATTATGATGATCTATTTAACTCTGGGAGGTTATTCTGCCCTCAGAAAATATTGTTACTGTATAATTTCTATTACAGTGTTAAAGATAAAAATTTTCAAATTGCACAGGAAATAGTGCAATTAGTTTTTGAAATTTCATTCTGAATTTAATGTGGGGAAAAACAGTACAATTGATATGTTTACTTAAAAATGGAATTATTAGCTATTTTTTTAGTTTTAATATTACATTGCTTTTGATAGTTATATAATAGATAGTATTAAAAAATAAATATTTGAAAAATTAATTATATATAAATGGCTTTATATTTTGCATAAAACTGACTGTTATAATTTTTAGGGACAAAAAGGTTTTCCTGGACCGAAAGGAGAAAAAGGGGAACGTGGTGATAATGGTCCAATGGTAAATTTACTAATTCATTAATTAACTGAATTTTATTACATTTATTTGGAAGCAGAATATAAATAAATTATCAGAAACATGTATTTTAATTTTAAGATTGTAGTGATGGAATATTTAATTAAACTTCTAATCTGAAAGAGGCAGTATATATGTTAACTGTTATATGTATTTTGTTTATTAATATTCCTGTTACCTACTAAGTATTTTTAATAATATTGATATATAAGCTGCTGCAAAAATGTATAAATCTTATATGTACTAAATTATGTTTTTCTGCCCACCACTTTTCATGAAAATGAATGTCAGTACTCTGCCAACCTGTAATTTGATTATGATAACTAGTTTCACTGTTAAATGAAAGTTTACATATGATTGTTACAAAAAAAAGACTCATAAATTTCACTGTTTATTAATGCTTATGATAATCATATAGAATATTTTTACATTATTTAAAAATATCTAAAACATAAATTACATTTAAATTATTCATATATCTGTGAATAGGGAAAAATTATGTTTTTCTGCCCACCACTTTTCATGAGAATGAATGTTAGTACTCTGTCAACCTGTAATTTGATTATGATAACTAGTTTCACTGTTAAATGAAAGGTTTCGTATGATTGTTACAAAAAAAGACTCTATATGATTATCATAAGCATTAATTTCACTCTCTATTAATGCTTATGATAATCATATAGAATATTTTTACGTTATTTAAAAATATCAAAAACATAAATTGCATTAAAATTATTCATATATCTGTGAATAGGGAAAAAGAGGTTAAACTGGGTATCCTGGAGCTTCTGGCGAAAAAGGACAAAAGGGTGAACCTGGACATTTTGGACCTGATGGAAGAACAGGACCTAAGGTAAAATAGTTGTGTGCAAAATTTGTGGGGAAAGTATCTGATTTATTCCTGAATTGAGTTTTGATATAGCATTCAGTGTTTTTAAAATTACATACTTGTATACATAATAATGCTATTTGATACAAGTATTTCTTATATGTATATAATACTGGTTTCTCGATAGATAATAATTTTCTTTACTCACATTGTTTTTAAATTAACAATTTATCAAGCAAAATAATTTTAGATTTCTAGGAATTCTAGATGTAGAAATATAAGTTTTAAATATTTTGATTAAAAAATGAATTCCACTTGTAGTATATTTTCACACTTAGGTGTTAAATAATCACAGAATAAATAGACTAAGTTAATTTTTTCCAAGTTTTTTTTTTTTTTTTTTTCCTTTTTAAGCAGGGGGGAATGAGCGTAATACTTATTTTGCAACAAAAATGGCATTTTTTTTTTAGTCTTCGTAGAACAAATTTTATAGCACAGACTTCAATTAATGCTTATTGTTTTTAATAGTTTAAGTAAAACATGTCTAGAGTCTACAAAGCTACAATAAAGGTAAAAGATAATCTGAATGATGAGAAATGAAAGCAATGAATTTTTGAAGTTCTAAAATATGTGATTCAGTACAATAGAAATTGAAAGTCTTTGTAGAGTAACCAATGAAAGTATAAGTACTGCTGTTATATTAAGAATATGTTTCAATTCAGGTCTACAGAACTAGTCTGGGTAATTAAATCACAATAATTCAGTAAATTGTTGTTGTTACAAACATTGACAACAATGATGAAAGTTTTCAGACTTTTTTTTAATATGTGTGTGTGTGTCTAGTATCCAGACTTCTTTAGTATTTGAAATGTATGCTGCGCCCCCCCCCAAAAAAAAAGGGGGGGACAGTTCTATATCTTTTGTTCTACTGGGCCGATTGACGAAATTCAAATTGCGTTTTTCATGTCTCGAAAGCATGACTTAGAATATATATTAGATTTATATATAGCATTATTCTAACATAGGTATTTTGACACTAAGTCGGACTTTTTCTGAAATAACATACACATTTTTTTCCGATTTTTCGATTCTACAACTCAAATTATGCCTAAATATTAAATTTTGTAAAATTTGGTGTGAAATTTACAGAGAAATTCAAGCGTTTACCTTGGTGCACTTTTTTCAATTTATGCCAAGAATAATTTACTTGGCAAATTTCTTAATATATAACAACCTAATTTTTCTTTCCTTTTTTGCATTGCAGACGAGTGGGAAAAAAGCCATTGTTCTTACTTTCAAATAATTTTAACAAAATGCGTAAATCACAGTTGATGTTATTATCGCTCAAAAAAAAAAAAAAAAAAGATGGCAAATTTTAAAACGTGCCAATGTAATTTCATGTATATCTTAGAAAATTTTGAATAAAAGAATAATTTTTTGCAGGTGTGCCTAGAAATACATTTACCTTAACAGGATGTTAAAATTTTATGTTAAATTTTATACTTTAATTATATTAAATATTTTAAAAACTACCTGTGTAATTTTTACAAAACTTGGCAGTTTGGTATGCTTTGAGTCGTAGAATCGAAATATAGAAAAAAATTGGCATTTCATCTCAGAAAAGGTCTGATTTTGTGTCAAAATACATATGTTAGAATAATGCTAAATATAAGTCAAATATATATAAGTCGCGCTTTTGAGACATGAAAAATGCAAATTGAAATTCGGCAATTGGCCCAGTAGAATGGGAGATATAGAACTGCCCAACCTTTTTATGTGTGTGCAGTATACATTTAAATTTTAAAAATTCCAAATATGATTGAAATAAATTGAGTACATTGGAATACTTACTTTTAAATTGTTACTAAAATATGAAAGGTAGGTAGAGCTATTATATGAGAATCATGTTCGTGTAAAATATTTATTTGAGACTTCTGCTGTTATTGCATTATCAAGCTTTTATAGAAATTAATAACTCTGATATTTGTAAAACATAATAGTATTAATTAATTTTATCTGATACTTATATAACTTAATATACTATATTTATGTATGGTTGTTATTCATGCATGCAATAATCAAATTGTGCATGCAAATTTTGCATTCAGTTCACACCTTAACCAAGCTGAGTTCTATGAAATGTTTTTATTCTACTCTTTGGAAAATTGTAAGCCTTTGAATATAAGAAGTTGTAAGTCTTGTTTCAGAGAGTATGATTTCCTGTTCTGAAATTATTGCATTATAAACCATACGTATACTTATTATGTTTGTCAATAATCTTTCATCTCATCCCATATTAAAAGAAAAACACACCCACACATATGTAAGAAGTTTATGTGAAATTTTGTTAGAATCATCTATGTATTTTTTATTTCAAGTTCAAATATATGTGGCTTAAGATATATGAATCTGTGCTCAATATTAATACCATTTTTTCTATCTTTAAATTTCAGGGTTTGAGAGGAGAACCTGGCAGACCTGGTTTTCCTGGTTCTCAAGGTCCACCTGTGAGTTATGCTTTTTTCTGTTTTTAAAATTAAACTTCATAAATTTATATTCTATAATTAAACTAATGCTTATTTTGCTCTAATCTCATTAGTATATATTTTCAGGGACCTCCTGGTATTATGATCGAAACTGGAGAGGTTATACCAGGACCTAGAGGACCTCAAGGAACTCCTGGTGACAGAGGATTGCCAGGCATTCCAGGTACATTTTATGCAAATTTATTATTCTTAATTCATTTCCAAATATAACTCCCAGTTTCTGCTTTCTGTAAAATATGATTGTGTGTAATAAATAGAATGACAAGGCCTTATGTTCTCTTTTTGGTAGATGAAGTATCCACAGACATGACCTCTTGAAATGCAAATAAAATTATCCATTTTGTTTTTTACAAAATCCTAACTTTTCTGTTTGGATTAATTGGCTTGTGGTATTTACTTATATGAGAATCACTGAATTCTCAATTGGCAAAGAAATTTTTCATATAAGCACTTGATTACAGTCTGCACTGTGGAGTAATTTGATGATGAAGTAGTTTGCTTTTAAGTTAAATTCAATTGGCTGTTTTATACTCTTCAATATGTTTTATTCATTTTTCTGTGAAAGTTATAATTGCAACAAATTTACTGAGAAAGTCATATTTTATATTAATTGTTAATTTTAATTTTGCATTCTATTCTATGCCAGAATAGATCTAAATGTTACTAAATTAATGAAAGTGAAAATATGCATGGTTCATATGGTGCTTAAAAGTACTTAAAATTCCTTGGGATTTGTGGTTCTTAAAAATCCTTAAGTTTGGCTAAATTTGGCAAAAGATTAATTTTACTGTTATTGGCTAAAATTGGCCAAAAGTATGTTTTTTACAACTTTTTTACAATTGAGTGTTAATTAATGTTTTTGAGAAATATTTTTGGTGATCCATTGACAAATATGAATTTGATGGCTTATCATTTGAAATATTTTGTATAAACAATGCAATGTCTGAATTTTTTGGCATGAGACCCTGTCTCCATTGAAACAGTAGCATTTTGAAATAATTTCTTTTTCGAGAATGAAGTGTTTATAAAATATTTCATCAAAAAAACTTTTCTTTTTTTTTTTTAGATTTTATTTCTTTTATTATGCAATGCTAAGTTTGGTGACTTATCAACATTTTGACAATTTCAAGATCAATTTGCATATGAAATTCTTAATCTGAAGATTTGCAATTTTTTATACAAATATAATAAAATTGCTAATTCAGTAGTCAAACAACAAAAATCAGCGTTATATTCACAAAATTTTCACAGTTTTCACTAGTTTCGATGGTTTTACCGAACCATCATCTTCAGTTGCAAAACCGCAAATGAACAAGATAGGAAATAATGATTAGATAAGAAAGCCTGGACAAGAATAAGCAAGTGGCGCCATCTGTTGGCGAAACCAGAACTAAAACATAATTTTTCTAAAAGCCGAAGGCAAATTTGGATTGGAATTAGGATCGTTAACTAGAACAGAAAGATTTTCATGAATGTGAAATGCCTCTAGAAAATCCAGTTCTCCAATGGAAGATGTTTTGAATAATTTTGGCAGCAGAAAAATTGAAAGTGTGATTTTCGGACCAACAATGTTGAACAACAGAAGACTTCTGTGTTTCCTTTTTTCTAACATATGCCTCATGTTCTTTGACGCGAAATTTTAAGGCTCTCTTAGTTTGACCAATGTAAATTAAACCACACTGGCAAGGAATCCTATAATTTTAAATACCCCAGGAATTCATATCCGGAATGGGGTCCTTGAGTATAGAAGTTGGAATTTTATTGATGGGAGAATAAACAACCCGAAAGTTAAATTTCTGCAAAATATGTGCAACTTTATAGCTAATTGATGGAAAGAAGGGAATGACAACAGAATTTTTATAATCTCCTAAAATAAGAGTGTGGCTTTTAGTGTGTTGAGATGACAATTTTTTAACTGCTTGATTAATAATGTTGGGTGAAAAGCCCCTGTCAATAGCTATTGCTTTTAAATAATTTAGTTCTTCATCAAGGGCTAGTTTGGAGGAGCAAACTTGAAGAGCACGGAAAACATAGGAATAAAATGAAGCTAACTTTTGTTTAGTCGGATGACATGATTTAAAGTGTGGTGGTATGGCAAACCGATGAAGGTTTACGGTAAACTGTAGTACTGAAGTTGGATGTGTTACGTGTGACCAGAATGTCGAGAAACGGAAGAGAATTGCAAGTCTCAAGTTCAAAAGTGAACTGAATAGCAGGATCAATAGAATTCATTGTTGAAAGAACTTTATTTAAATCATCTTTATTACCTTCAAACAGGTAAAAGTATCGTCTACGTAGCGGAACCATGCCGGGAAGTTTAAAGTTTCAAACAATTTTGATTCATAATAATGCATGTAGATATCAGCCAGGATGGGACTGAGGGGGCTTCCCATGGCTAATCCCTCAGTTTGCTTGTAATATTTATTTTGGAAAACAAAATGTGTTTGTTTCAAACAGAGTTGAGTGAGAGAAATTAGCTCATCAATTTCGATGCAAGAGAAATGAAATTCGCGAAGTCTGGTTTCTAGACATCTTAATGCACCCTCCACTGGGACATTGGTGAATAATGATTTTACATCAAAAGAAACCATGAGTAAATTACTAGGAGAAATGTTTTTAACCTTTTTTACAAACTCTATTGAATTTTTTATGGTGTAAATGTTATTGTCTAATAGAGTGGAAAATCTAGAAACTAAATATTTAGCTAATGGATACGAGGCAGTACCTAAATTTGATACAATAGGGCGGAAAGGAATACCACTTTTATGAATTTTGGGAAGAGCATATAATCTGGCACAATTCGCAACAGATGGGATAAGCGAATGTTTTAAGTTGCTTGAAATGATTTGCGAAGATTTGATCGCAGTTTTTTATTTTGGATAAGTCCGAAGGTGAAGGATCTTTAGGGATCGGATTATATGGTCCTTCGTTTAAGAGTTTAGTGACACCATCGATGTAAGTGTTCTTATCCATGACGACTATCTGGCCACCTTTGTCGGCCTTTGAAATGATAATATCCGGGTTAGAATGAATTTCGCGCATTGTAGCTCTTTCTCTCTTTCTCTCGCAGTTAGATGTTGGTTTCAAAGGTTTATTATTGAATTTCACATTATGAGCGATAAGATGCCTAATCATTTCTTTCTGTGAATCTGAAACTTTACTGAACTTGAAAGCTTTTTCGATAGGAGCCAAAATCTTTGGAATCGAGGGTTTACAGGTTTGTGAGAAGTTAAAATTATATTTTAGAATTCTCTCTTGTTCTTCTGAAAGACTAACATTAGAAATATTAACTACTGGCTTGATGTTTACAATGGGAAGATTTTTTGAGCTACTTGAACTGGAAGACTGTAAAAGAAGTTTTTTCGAATTTAACTGCAAGGGTGTTTTTATGACGGTTAACTGCATTCTCCGTTCTAGACCAAGACTTTTGTTCAGGGGGCAGTGAATTTTGGATATGATTTAGCGAGTTCCAGATGAAGCTTATAGAGTTCATGTTCAATTTTGGACAATTGTTGACGTGTATCCCTTATCACGATGGACCGAAGTAAGGCAAGCTTGCAATTTAACAGAATTCTTGAAACGCGACTCGGAAGGTTTTTGATTAGATTTGATTTGAATAAAATTGGGGATCAATTTTTTTACATTTACATTTAAGTAAAAAGTCAAGATGATTCAGGAAATTTTTGCCGTTTCAGGCGTAATTTAGTGAAACGATTAACGGATGAAGGCATGATAAACAATGCAGAAAATCAAACTAAATTAACTGAGCATAAACTAATAGCATAAACATAATTAAATTAACTTAAATAATAAAGTACACACAATACAGCACAAAAATCCCTCACTGAAATGAATAGAAAACAAAACGTTTGTAAGAAAAATGCATGAAGTCGTCAGACAAGCAAAGCACAATATCCAAATGTACAAAACATAAACATAACTTGAAAGTTGCAAAAATGTACTCACCGAAACTCCTACAATCACAAAATGGCGGCCACACCACGTGCAAAAAAGAAAGCAAAATGTAAGCCTGTTTGGGGCTTATATAATTAAGACACAATAACACGGCGAATAAATACTAATTCAGAAGTCAAACAACAAAAATCAGCGTTAATTCACAAAATTTTCACAGGACTAGTTTCGATGGTTTCACCGAACCATCATCTTCAGCTGCAAAACCGCAAATGAACAAGATAGGAAATAATGATTAGATAAGATAAGAAAGCCTGGACAAGAATAAGCAAGTGGCGCCATCTGTTGGCGAAACCAGAACTAAAACATAATTTCTCTAAAAGCCGAAGGCAAATTTGGATTGGAATTAGGATCGTTAACTCGAACAGAAAGATTTTTATGAATGTGAAATGCCTCTAGAAAATCCAGTTCTCCAATGGAAGATGTTTTTTTGAATAATTTTGGCAGCAGAAAAATTGAAAGTGTGATTTTCGGACCAACAATGTTGAGCAACAGAAGACTTCTGTGTTTCCTTTTTTCTAACATATGCCTCATGTTCTTTGACGCGAAATTTTAAGGCTCTCTTAGTTTGGCCAATGTAAATTAAACCACACTGGCAAGGAATCCTATAAATACCCCAGGAATTCATATCCGGAATGGGGTCCTTGAGTATAGAAGTTGGAATTTTATTGATGGGAGAATAAACAACCCGAAAGTTAAATTTCTGCAAAATATGTGCAACTTTATAGCTAGCTAATTGATGGAAAGAAGGGAATGACAACAGAATTTTTATAATCTCCTAAAATAAGAGTGTGGCTTTTAGTGTGTTGAGATGAGAATTTTTTAACTGCTTGATTAATAATGTTGGGTGAAAAGCCCCTGTCAATAGCTATTGCTTTTAAATAATTTAGTTCTTCATCAAGGGCTAGTTTGGAGGAGCAAACTTGAAGAGCACGGAAAACATAGGAATAAAATGAAGCTAACTTTTGTTTAGTCGGATGACATGATTTAAAGTGTGGTGGAAGGCAAACCGATGAAGGTTTACGGTAAACTGTAGTACTGAAGTTGGATGTGTTACGTGTGACCAGAATGTCGAGAAACGGAAGAGAATTGCAAGTCTCAAGTTCAAAAGTGAACTGAATAGCAGGATCAATAGAATTCATTTAAATCATCTTTATTACCTTCAAACAGGGTAAAAGTATCGTCTACGTAGCGGAACCATGCCGGGAAGTTTAAAGTTTCAAACAATTTTGATTCATAATAATGCATGTAGATATCAGCCAGGATGGGACTGAGGGGGCTTCCCATGGCTAATCCCTCAGTTTGCTTGTAATATTTATTTTGGAAAACAAAATGTGTTTGTTTCAAACAGAGTTGAGTGAGAGAAATTAGCTCATCAATTTCGATGCAAGAGAAATGAAATTCGCGAAGTCTGGTTTCTAGACATCTTAATGCACCCTCCACTGGGACATTGGTGAATAATGATTTTACATCAAAAGAAACCATGAGTAAATTACTAGGAGAAATGTTTTTTAACCTTTTTTTACAAACTCTATTGAATTTTTTATGGTGTAAATGTTATTGTCTAATAGAGTGGAAAATCTAGAAACTAAATATTTAGCTAAAGGATACGAGGCAGTACCTAAATTTGATACAATAGGGCGGAAAGGAATACCACTTTTATGAATTTTGGGAAGAGCATATAATCTGGCACAATTCGCAACAGATGGGATAAGCGAATGTTTTAAGTTGCTTGAAATGATTTGCGAAGATTTGATCGCAGTTTTTATTTTGGATAAGTCTGAAGGTGAAGGATCTTTAGGGATCGGATTATATGGTCCTTCGTTGTAAATGTAAAAAATTGATCCCCAATTTTATTCAAATCAAATCTAATCAAAAACCTTCGAGTCGCGTTTAAAGAATTCTGTTAAATTGCAAGCTTGCCTTACTTCGGTCCGTGATAAGGGATACACGTCAACAACTGTCCAAAATTGAATATGAACTCTATAAGCTTCATCTGGAACTCGCTAAATCCTATCCAAAATTCACTGCCCTTGAACAAAAGTCTTGGTCTAGAACGGAGAATGCAGTTATCCGTCATAAAAACACCCTTGCAGTTAAATTCGAAAAACTTCTTTTACAATCTTCCAGTTCAAGTAGCCAAAAAATCTTCCCATTGTAAACATCAAGCCAGTAGTTAATATTTCTAATGTTAGTCTTTCAGAAGAACAAGAGAGAAAATTATATTTTCTAAAATATAATTTTAACTTCTCACAAACCTGTAAACCCTCGATTCCAAAGATTTTGGCTCCTATCGAAAAAGCTTTCAAGTTCAGTAAAGTTTCAGATTCACAGAAAGAAATGATTAGGCATCTTATCGCTTATAGTGTGAAATTCAATACTAAACCTTTGAAACCAAATCTAACTGCGAGAGAAAGAGCTACAATGCGCGAAATTCATTCTAACCCGGATATTATCATTTCAAAGGCCGACAAAGGTGGCCAGATAGTCGTCATGGATAAGAACACTTACATCAATGGTGTCACTAAACTCTTAAACGAAGGACCATATAATCCGATCCCTAAAGATCCTTCACCTTCGGACTTATCCAAAATAAAAACTGCGATCAAATCTTCGCAAATCATTTCAAGCAACTTAAAACATTCGCTTATCCCATCTGTTGCGAATTGTGCCAGATTATATGCTCTTCCCAAAATTCAAAATTCAAAAGTGGTATTCCTTTCCGCCCTATTGTATCAAATTTAGGTACTGCCTCGTATCCATTAGCTAAATATTTAGTTTCTAGATTTTCCACTCTATTAGACAATAACATTTACACCATAAAAAATTCAATAGAGTTTGTAAAAAAGGTTAAAAACATTTCTCTCCTAGTAATTTACTCATGGTTTCTTTTGATGTAAAATCATTATTCACCAATGTCCCAGTGGAGGGGTGCATTAAGATGTCTAGAAACCAGACTTCGCGAATTTTCATTTCTCTTGCATCGAAATTGATGAGCTAATTTCTCTCACTCAACTCTGTTTGAAACAAACACATTTTGTTTTCCAAAATAAATATTACAAGCAAACTGAGGGATTAGCCATGGGAAGCCCCCTCAGTCCCATCCTGGCTGATATCTACATGCATTATTATGAATCAAAATTGTTTGAAACTTTAAAACTTCCCGGCATGGTTCCGCTACGTAGACGATACTTTTACCTGTTTGAAGGTAATAAAGATGATTTAAATAAGTTCTTTCAACAATGAATTCTATTGATCCTGCTATTCAGTTCACTTTTGAACTTGAGACTTGCAATTCTCTTCCGTTTCTCGACATTCTGGTCACACGTAACACATCCAACTTCAGTACTACAGTTTACCGTAAACCTTCATCGGTTTGCCTTCCACCACACTTTAAATCATGTCATCCGACTAAACAAAAGTTAGCTTCATTTTATTCCTATGTTTTCCGTGCTCTTCAAGTTTGCTCCTCCAAACTAGCCCTTGATGAAGAACTAAATTATTTAAAAGCAATAGCTATTGACAGGGGCTTTTCACCCAACATTATTAATCAAGCAGTTAAAAAATTGTCATCTCAACACACTAAAAGCCACACTCTTATTTTAGGAGATTATAAAAATTCTGTTGTCATTCCCTTCTTTCCATCAATTAGCTATAAAGTTGCACATATTTTGCAGAAATTTAACTTTTGGGTTGTTTATTCTCCCATCAATAAAATTCCAACTTCTATACTCAAGGACCCCATTCCGGATATGAATTCCTGGGGTATTTATAGGATTCCTTGCCAGTGTGGTTTAATTTACATTGGCCAAACTAAGAGAGCCTTAAAATTTCGCGTCAAAGAACATGAGGCATATGTTAGAAAAAAGGAAACACAGAAGTCTTCTGTTGCTCAACATTGTTGGTCCGAAAATCACACTTTCAATTTTTCTGCTGCCAAAATTATTCAAAAAACATCTTCCATGGAGAACTGGATTTTCTAGAGGCATTTCACATTCATAAAAATCTTTCTTTCTGTTCTAGTTAACGATCCTAATTCCAATCCAAATTTGCCTTCGGCTTTTAGAGAAAGTATGTTTTAGTTCTCTGGTTTTGCCAACAGATGGCCCACTTGCTTCTTCTGTCCAGGCTTTCTTATCTTCTTATCTAATCCTTATCCTATTTGTTTCCTATCGCGGTTTTTTTTTGCAGGTGAAGATGATGGTTCGGTAAAAACCATCGAAACTAGTTCCTGTGAAAATTTTGTGAATATAACGCTGATTTTTTGTTTGTTTGACTTCTGAATTAGTATTTATTCGGCGTGTTATTGTGTCTTAATAATAAAATTGATAAATATCATTAAAATAATGATAATCTATTAAAATTGTAACTGAAAAATATTAAAATAAAATTCTTTTTTCCCCTTGTTAGATTTTAAAATCTAATATTATTTTCTAATTTGTTGTTTAAAAGTATTTTGGTTCTGAAGAATAAATGTGACTATAAATGCTATAAAAACACAGTTTTCGAAGCACTTCTTAGCGAAAGAAAAAAAAAACTAATTATTTAAAAATTAATTTCATCTATCTTTTTATATATTTTTTCATAAGCATTTTTTCCCATATAGTTGTTTCAGAATATTCAAATGTGCATCAGTTTTCTCTAAAAAATTTACTTTACACTTTTCTTTCCTGAGTTTTTTATTAAAAAAATCTTCTGTCTTTTTGCTTTTACAGAGAGGGATCATTTTTAGATCTGACACCTCAGAAGGTTTAGAAGGACATCATCTAATTTTAGAACATTTCTGTAAATGAAGAGAAATGATAATGACTCTGTAGTCAAAAACAACATTATGAACTTAGAAATATTTATCAGCTACTGTATTATTTTTGAAGTTTTCTGTACTTGGAAATTCACTTAATAATACAATGAACTGATCAGAGCTTTTTTTATAAAACTAACTTTTGATATATGTAAAGATTATTAAAATTTCCTAAAAGTAGGCATTTCACATGAGTTAATTTTACATTATTTTATTGATGTTCAAATATAGATACGTTTAGTAGACTACACTAGAACAAACTGATTTATTGACATGCAATTTCTATCAGTTGGGTATTAAATTGCTATTAACTTTTTAAATTTTATTAAGAGAATATTTGAATATATATTTTAGGTAAACCTGGAGTTAGAGGACCTGTTGGATATCGTGGTGCTGCTGGAGAGCCTGGTCCTCAAGGTCCTCCTGGAGAACCTGGGCCAATTGGTTTGAGTTTCAAGGGGGAACCAGGAGATGATGGTATGTATAATATTTTTTAATATTTGTGGATAACAGGCACTTTGCCCATGAAATTTTTTCTGCATTTTATTGGTACTGTCATTGTGTTTCCTATATATATATATATATTATTTACATGTCCTAAGATTTAGATGCTTATCTGTTTCAAATCTCAGGCTGTTTATTATATTTATTCTCTGAGATCTAGATATTTAGAATTCTGATCTGTCTGTATTTATTTTTTGACAATCTTATTCATAAATATTATGCTCTTACTCATAATAAATAAATTCAAATCTTATTCTGTTTGTATTTATTGTCTGAGGTTCTGATGCTCTTATTTCATAATAAATAAATTTTCAGGGCTGTCAAATAGTGTCAAGATTTAGAGTAAAACAAAAAATAATTTACTTATTGATTTATTTTGTCAGAATTTTGACTGTAAATTAAGTTTTAATTTGCTTTGAATTCCATTGTTCCCCGTTTAAATATGAACAGAAAGTGGAATATATCATTCATATTAAAAATAATAGGATTTGAGACTAATTTTTTAATATTTTTGTAGGGTTTAGAAGCAATAAGTACAAGTTTATGATAAAGTGTGAAATTTTATATATGCATGATGTATTTATGCCATTTTTATGTATTTTTAACAGTATAACTAGTAGTAAAATTAATAATTGATGCCATTCCAGTCAAAATTTATATTTGCAATGTAACTTTTCTTTTATTCCTTTCAGTTTGATATTTTATTTCTTTCTTTATTTTTTATTTTTTTTATACTGGCACACTAAATAAATTTTATGCTTTTAGTTCTTGTTAATTTAAACAAATGTTTTGCTGGTGTGCTATTTTTTGGTTTTGGTAGTTATTTATTTTTGGTCTACACTGCAGTCAACAGCAGTTATTAAATACATATAGGCTTTCCTGGAATACCTGGTCCCCAGGGAAAACCTGGCTTTCCTGGATTGCAGGGTCTTACTGGAGCAAAAGGTGCACCTGGTCTCACTGTCGTTGGGCCTCCTGGAGAAGATGGTCGGCCTGGAAAAGATGGAATTCATGGCATTCATGGGCCAAGAGGAGATCCTGGACCACCTGGTATGTCTGCAATTTTTTTTAAAGCATTTATAGACAAAATTTTATCATGATACAGGACTTCTTGGAATATTTATCATTATAATAACTGTCAATGTTTATCTTTTATTTAATTTTAATTTATTCACATAGTTCAAGATTGTAAACCATTTTCTTGTCAATGCTTGCAGTGGAGTATATTTAAAAAATATAGAGATTAGTTCTTTCTCTGATTTTATATAATTCATTTATTTCAATTATTACATGGGTTTTTTTAAGTAATTAAAGAGGATTTTATTTTGAGTGAAACTAATTTTAAAAAATATTTGTTTCAATTATTGATTTTTTTACTTATTCTAAATAGATGTTTTTTGTCACTTCTGATTTCTTTTAAATTTCTCGATGCAAAGACAAAAGTTTTAAATTATTTGGAAATTCAAAATAACATTACGGTAATCAGCAATTTGTTTTTTTAGTTGATTTTTAGAGCTTTGGCTGTACTTTTTATTATTATTATTTCAAACAAGTCTGAAGTTTATGCTTATTAAACCATCCTTGTAAGTTAAACACTAAATTCTTTCATTTGTTGTGATATTATAGTTGAATTTATAGTACAGTTTTAAATTCTATGTATGTGTTCTCTGTTTTGGTTGAGTTTTTTCCACCAAAATCTCCTGTCTTGATGAAACTTATGTCATGGATTTATTTATATTTAGAAACAAGTATTATTCATTTGTTTCATGTATGGGGATAGCAGTCCAGCATTACTTTTTGCCTGGCTTGTACAGGCTAGTATATATATCTTAAGAATGCAGTTAAAAAAATAATAAATAAAATTAAAATAAAAATCTGAAAGCTTTTAGATTTTACATTATGCCCAAAGGGGCGTTTTTTTAACATTTTACATTTGTGTTACCTTTATTTATTAAATATCATGTTCTTCGCACTTAAACCATAAAATTCAGCTCAACTGCAATATCAGAAAATAATTTTAAAAGGAACATATCTTTAGAATTTCTGATACACAGTCTCGTGCGCCAGAGGTAAAAAGGTTTTTTTTTTTTTTTTTTTTTCCGTACAGCATGGTCATTGCTTGCTTTGAAATAGTTGATTTTGTTAATCAAAAATTCGTTAAAGTTTTATGAAATAGATAATAAAACAAATTCGAAATTTGAGCTTCCAGATGCCTATATTCGGATGGAAATGTATGTTATTCAAAATTTGATGGCTTTAGGTACCGTTGTTTTATCACAGTGAGAAACATACATTTATATAGGTTCTTCATTATTTAATTTCTTTAAATATAGTACAGGGCTCTAATATTTGGTGGCAACAATTTGAAAAGTGAACCCACATTTACAGAGAATCAATGCAAAATGCCAAAACTAAATTAAAAGTCCCTCTGGGCAAATTGCCCCATTATATTAAAAAAAAATATATATTTTATTGTTCACACTTGTAGCTGTATTATTAAATACTTCCAAAATTTTAAATGTGGTGTCGTGTAAAGTACTATGTTTATTTTTTTTAAGGTGATAAAGGCTATCCTGGTTATGGTGTTATGAAACAGGGACCTCCAGGAGCTGATGGTTTACCTGGATTTCCTGGAGAACCAGGAGAGCCAGGAATTCCAGGTGCTGATGGTCCACCAGGCATTCAAGGAGTAAAAGGGGATGACTGTGGATATTGTCCTCCTGGACGACCTGGTTTCAAAGGAGCTCCAGGAGATGAAGGAAGGCCAGGTAAAAGAAAAATGTTTATTTTTCTGAAACTGGAATTTCTGTTTGAAGGAGGGGAAATGGGTGCATGAAAAATTTTCATACTACTATAATTATGCTAATGTTGAAAAATATGTTTCTAGAAGTAAAAGAGAAGGCAAACAATAGAGCAAAAAATATGAAGTTTTAATTGGAATTCCTGATTAATGTAGAACTATATGTTTGGTAGAACAACAGCATCACAAAACATGATCTTCTTATGACTACACTCACTGTTGCAACACTCATTACTATCACTCATTATGACAACAACACTCGTTATTAACTAATTTATATATTATTATTATTCCTTTTCTTTTTTTAACATATTTTAGCAAGTGTAAATCACTGTAAATATTTTTCTAGTTTTTAATCATAAAATTTTGGGCTGACCTACTGAATGGCTAAAGCAATGACAATGTAGATTACTTGCCCTACACCAACTGAATAGGATAATTGCATATGCTTTTCATCACATGCAATATAAATATAAACCTGTTTCTCTCAGAGAACTGTCCATGATGGCATCTCTTCCTCAGATAGATAATTCTTGCATACTTTTCCTACAATGTAGTATTTTTCAGCGTTTTGTGACACAAAACTCCAAGGATTGTTTTGTATAGCATCTTAAATTAAATGTTCATTCAAAAAGGCTGTATATGAATTCAGTTGCATATTTATAGTGGGATCATTGCTATATCAAATTTTTAACATCATTGTAACATTGCTTCTTATAAATAAATATTTTAATCTTGTTTATCAACTTTACTGTGATAGTAAAATTTCCAAACATTTCGGTATCATTCTCTGTAAATTTATATGTAGTGAATTTTTAATTTAATGGGTAGTGTCACAAATAGTGTGATAAAAATTGTTTTCCATTTTTAAGATTCTTCTTGTGCAAATTAGCATTTTCTGCAATGAAAATAGCAAAAGTTCAAATAGAAAAATAGACTGATGTAGTATTTTGAATGTGATTTCGGCATCTTTTTGTAAAACATAAGGCCATATATTTATAAACTTTTAATGGAATGTATTAAGTATTGGCTTAAAATCAAGCAGTTGAATGCTATTATAACTGATTGCTGCTATAAAAATAGTAATAATAATTATTATTGTCATAATTATTCAAAATTTAAATCGCTTTATGAGAATATAGGGGTTCAATTAAATGTAATGTCAAATGGAAAAGTTGGAAATCATTATCATAATGAAATAACCCAATAGTAATTAGTATGTTATTTTGCTTTTTGAAGCTAATTTGTTCCTCGTAATTTTTTTTTTCCTAGTGTAGAGCTTGGAAATATCTTGTGTAGATTTAAAATGATTTGGAAATGCTTCAGAATATTAAAAACAATATTAATGTGTACTTTACACTATCTTAAGGCATGCGTAGTGCAATTGGAACTCGCAGAAATTCTCATAAATGCAAGAGTCTTGTCAACTTAAATTATAATAAATTTAAAAAATACTGATTCAAATAATTTTGATGAGGAGAGAAGAAACATTAATATTCTTCTCTCCTCATAAAAATAATCTGTTTGAAATTTGTGCCAGAAAGAGTCTGAATTTTGCAATTTGTGTTAAAAGTTATTTGAGTGTAAGTAGACATATGATTGATTATTATGGCAAAACATGTGAGTTCTATCAGCTTTATGAATACTCCATAGGTTGAAAAACTAAATGCTGTGTTTCGGTGTCCGTCATTTCAGTTGTCCCAGAGATAAATTTTGAATTTTGATAATAAAATTTGAAATTTACATGCAAGTTGGTCTTTTATTGTCATTACATTGTTTTAGGATACATACTAAACTTATATAAAGCATATTGTAGGCATAATTTTTGGTAAAAATTTAGTAATTTCTGAAATAAAAGACGTATTCCTTTCACAGAGATTAATTTTACAGCAAAGTCATGCATAAATAGTGAAACTGAAGTTTGGTATTATTACATCTTATTATTATTACTCTGAATTTTGTTTTGACAAAGTTAATTGAATTAAATTTGTACTTGATAATATCATTATTTATTAACTCTCTACTTTTCTTTTGTATATTTTTTAATCTGTTTGCTCTGAGCCTATCATATATGATTTGTTTCATAACAAATGTGGCACAGAGGTGAAGTGCCTCTGGTGGCCTACCTCTTAAAATTTGATATGTTAAACCAGAACTTTTTATTTAAATTTTTTAAAAGTGTAAATGATTTTAAAATGCTTGGAAACTTAATAGAATGTAGTGAATGTTAACCTTGTTGTTATAAATATTATTTCGCTATTTTACTCTGAAATGTGAAACACACGACAGTGGTCAATATAATTAAGATAAAATAATATGCTGAACAAGTATTAATTTAGAATTCAAAGAACAAAAATCAGCGTTATATTTGTAAATTTTCACAGGACTAGTTTTGATGGTTTTCCCGGACCATCATCCTCAGCTGCCAAAGAGCAAATGAATGACATAATGATTATTTGCACAGCTGAGGATGATCGTTCAGTAAAACCACTGAAACTAGTCCTGTGAAAATTTGCAAATACAATGCTAATTTTTGTTGTTTGAATTCTAAATCAATACTTGTCAGTGTTTTATATTGGGCTTAGAAATATGCACAGTTATTAAGAATTTTTTATTTTTGTTTGCAAGTGTGGTAGTAGGGTGTAGTATGCATTGATCATTTTCAATCTATTTTTTCTACTTCATTTATTTATAGAAGTAATCTTAATATATAAAGCATAATCGTTATTCTTTGTGTTCCTTTTTGTCTTATTTTTTGTTTTTATTTTAATTGTATAAATCAAGACTTTTTGTTTTATACATAAAAAAAAGAAATTTTAGTTTTACAATCAAGGCTCCAAATATTTTGGTAAAGAGCAGATTTTAAGGAAAAGTTTTACATATTAAGCGTAATAGGAAAAATCATTTGAGTATGCTAAGACATTCAGTTTTCCAAGGTTCACAGACCTCAGTAGAGCTTCATTTCTCCTGTGCCTGGAACAAAAAGGTTAATTTAAGCTTAATTCATTCATCAAAAAAAAAAAAAAAAAAAAATCACAATTCTTGCAGTTTATCTAAAAAATTAGTCTAGAAAGTATATCATATTTATGTTAAAACAATGTGCTGCTTTTTGATTTTATAATTTAATTTTATATACCATTAGTATAGCTGATAATTTTTTTCCCATTTCCATTCATTTTCTGCATAAAAAAAGGGTTAAGGGAATTTCATTTGTCTGTATATATCTGTAGCAATAAGTTTACTATATGGAATATTAAATATTTAATTTTATTGTAATGTTATCATAACAATTGTCATGACGTGATGACGACCCCGCATGCGCAGTTTAGCCGAACGGCCTGCAACGCCTCTCTCTCATGAGACTTACTAGAGAAGAGTAGTTAGTAGGTAGTAGCAAAGTAATGAAGGAAGCGTGCTGTATGTCAGCTTAGATGCAAAATACGAAGTTATACTTGTTTGTTAATTGTTGGTACTTATTATTTTTATTTGTGTGTTAAAAAGTTTTGTGCCATTAAAATGGCTGTTTTATGCAACGCCCACAATACGATACGTCTACGGTAGGAATTAAATACATATCCAGAATCTACAAGCCCAACAAGAAGATTGTGACAACAATGTTTAAATGAACTTCAGTAAAAATAAAATTAACTTCGATAACGCTTAAATTATAATGAAACTTAATAAAAAATTAACTTCCTTAGTACTATTACTGCTATTGTAATAAAATTTAACTTGAATGAAAGCCTTTTGCTTTTGCAAGATGGAGCTATGATTACAAGCATTTAAAAATAGTACAGTACGAAATCTGAAATTCGGAATCATCAAGGGATTTCTGAAACTTCTGGATAAATTTAAATTTACTTAGATGATGTAGAAATTAAAAAATATGAAATAAATGATTATGAAACAATAAAACATTTATGAGTTTAATGAAATAAAAAAAATCTCAGTATTTATTTGTTTTATCAAACATTTCTTTTACTATAAATTGTTTAAGTTAATTTTTTTTTCACTTTCTTCACTATCAGTAGTTGATTGATGATTACAATGAAAACTTTTGTTATATCATCTTCATTTATTATCACTTCTCCACATTTCTTCAAAAGTTCTATCCGATTTAAAAAAAAAAAAAAAAAAAAAAACCTTCAAATTCATTCGAAAAATTATGCCAATCATTTTTAAAAACATCTGCAGACAAGTCCCCCCATGACCTTGCAGTGCTCTACACAGCAAGATATTCTCTGACTGCTGTGCAAAGCACTGCAAGGTCATGGGGTCTTACCCATTCATGCAAGGTCTTACCCATTCAATCATCCCTTTGTCATGATTGTCACTTTTAGCATAATGAGTTATTTTTCTGTTAATAACTATGAGTGGAATGTCATAATCTGCTAAGGTATTTGGGGCATGTATTGTCAGAAAGAACAGTTCCATCAGAGTTATAAATTTGTTCTGGAAAGAGCTCTTTGCTCTTAAGAAGTTCGATAAATCTGCAAATTTTTCAAGTGCTTTTATATCAGCTGAATTTTTTTATCTGAAATTTTATATACTTTATACCATGGCTATTTTTTTAATTTAGTTGTCCATTTCTTCATGAAATATTTTAGCTTAAGCCATTAGCTTTGGACCTGTTAATGGCACACTCTCCCTACAACACTTTCTTACCCATTCAATCATCACTTTGTCATGATCGTCACTTTTTGCATAACAACTTATTTTTCTGTTATTCATTGCAAGTTGAATGTCATAACCCATAAGAAAAAAATTTTCTATTTTTTTAAAGCCTTATGCAATGCTCCTTACATAATTTTGAGACAGATGTCCCTTTATCCATTTTTTGCTGCAATTCCCTTTTTTGCCTGATTGACATTAAAACATGCTTTCACTTTGCAGATTATGCTACAGTTCCAGAATTAGAAACTCTTTTTGATATAATTGAAAACTCAAACTTTAATTTTGATAAGGTAACTTTAAAAAAATAGCCTTCAAAACATAAAATGGATCAAATTAAAAAGTTGCAGTTTAAAGTTCTTTGCAAATTAAAAATTGCAAAGAGTGCAATTTGCTATGTCAACTTAAGTTCCTTAAAAAAACTAATATGAGCAACATCCCACTGCAAATAAATATGTCTTACAGCTTCACAATTTGCTTAAGGCAGATAAAAATCAACCATCCCCTATCAACCTTTCAAGAGCTAAAGATGTGGTCATGACCAACGTCACTACAACATAAATTAATGCACTGCTATTTGCCTGGTGTGATTCTTTAGACAGCAGTGGCAGCATATGAAAGAATCTGTTACTCAGGAAAAAAATGGCATGCCTGCTTTTTACAAGTATTACATTTTCTATTCCTAGATTTTGTAAGAGTGGGAAAATGCTGATTGTCTAGAAGTTCGGATATTAGATCATTCCAATTATTGGATGTCCAGATTCCAGGTTTTGTATTGCATTTAGATAAAGATGGCAACAAATTTTATATTATCAATAGAGTATTGTTTAGATACAGATTAAAAGTTTTTAGATTTGAATTCGTTATTTAATTATGGCATAGTCATAATGGCAGTATGCTTATATGATGTCTTTTGGAGAACTTTCTCTGAGAAACTTGTGTCTATGCCCTGAGTGAAATTATGCATTGTGCAACTTTAGTTAGTGAGCTACTGGTGATGAAATCGATATCTTTTTATTTATTATCTACTTTTTCATTCATTTGATTTAAACATTTTCCCATCAAATAAGAAGTTTCTTTTTTATCTGAAAAACCTTTTATTGAAATAAACTTTATTGAATAACCTTTTATTGAAATAACTCATTTGATGAAACAGAGCAGATGAGAATTTATGTATTGTATCTAAATAAATATCCTCACAGAAGTTACTGTCCGAATTGAAAAATAGAATTCTGAGTTAGGATTATTTTACATTATGGCAAAGCATTTGAATGCTATCTGCCTGAAAGGAGAGATGCCTTTGGATTAGACTTCTTAAGAGAAACTGGTTTGTGTTCATATTGCATGTGAAGCAAACCATACAAACTTCCATGCAGCTAACCAGGATTTGAAACCACTGCTCAGAAATGAGACTCTAGTTCCTACAGAACAAAGCATTCTTGTTTGAATCTCTATATATGTGTGCATGTTTCATTAGAATTTTAATGAGTATGGGGTATTGAAATTAACTTAGTATAGAATCTCATGCTGTGATTACTTATTATGACTACAGTATTTACAATTATATTTACAATTATATTATTAAAACATACTATTCAATCTACCCCCTCACAAACTGAAGGAAATAAAAAAAAAAAAAAAAAAAAAAAAAAAGCCTCCCCCCAATTTATAAGTTATAGTTGTGAAACTGAAATTTTATTACTGGAACACAGTTTATTGGGTATATGAATTGATATGTATATAAAGAAGTAAATGATCCAGTCTACAACAATATATGCTGTTTTATTATGCACTGCTCATCAGAATGAAAAGGTATTAACAGAAATAAAACATAGCTGTTATTTATAAAAAATTATTAAAAACAATTTATACAAAATCTTTATTTGCATAATCTGCTATGTTTGCCCGTTGACTAATAACAAATTATTGAATTTTAAGTCAAATTTATGAAAATTTAAAAGTGATCAAAAAGATCTTCCCTTTTTGCCTCAGATGTTTCTTTAATACGATGTCTGGTCACATCTGAGAAAAATGCAAACCTAATCTTGATTTCATAGAATTAACTAAAGTGTTCATTAATTTTTAACCAGCTTTTTTATTTATTTATTTTTTATTTTATTATTATTATTATTATTATTTTATTTTTTATTGTGGAATCTTTCATCATTCTTTTGACATTGCTTGCAATTTTTTGGGTCCTTGGAAGGTCTGAGAAGGTATTTGGCTCACTGCGGTTATCTTTCTTGACATGCACATATGGCCAATATGTTCAAGTCTGGTGGGTCAGCTGACTAAACTATTCAAGTGATATCTTTAGTTTCCAAATGCTGTACAGATGTGGATTGATATTGCCATCCATTGCCAAAACATCTGGCCTTAATAGCACTCTTAAACAATCTTGCTTGGGATTCCAAGACCTTGTCCACATATCTGTGACTGATTAGGTAACTTCCATCAGTGATATGCAGCTTGCTGTGCTGTTTTTGTTGATTCTAGTACAAATCATGAAACTGCTTCTGTAAAAAGTGGATCTTTTGGAAACAAAGGAAGACAAGTTACAGGTTCCTCTCTTTCTTTAGATCAATAAACACATCTCTGGAACCACTGTTCAGGCTGCATCTTGATTTGTCAGTAAATACCATGCAGTCCCATTCCTCTTGGCCCCATTGAATATAATGAAGACAGCAGTTTAAACAAGTTCTTCCGGAAGATGAAATAATTGGGACAAAAATAATTAGTTTGCTTGCCTAGTCTTACCCCATGAAGCCTTTGTGCAGAAACAGCTGTTTCAAGCTTAAGAGCTGTTTTGAGTAACTGTATCAGTCTGAAGATCTGAAACCAACTTTATTACAGAGTCTTCCTGGTTTTTGCAAGCCAGTGATTAAAAAAAAAATGTTTTTCGATGCAGTTATTCTTGGCAGGCCTTGAACAAGCTTTCTACCATCCAGTTCATAGTTTAAAAAGCAATACCATGACACTTTGAGGAATACTTGATCCTGGACAATCTCCATTTGTATTTGCCTCTTTGTTGAGTCTATCAAGTAAACACAACTTCTGACCCTCACTTAAATTATAACTTTGAGTCATAACTAATAAATACTGATGACTGTCAGAAATCATATTAACTTTCAGGAATATTACTCATTCCAGCATGTGTCTGTTATGCAACACATTGTCAGCTGCCTGATTTGCATACTTCATATCTGTGTGCAGAAGTCTAATTCTGTGTTCACTTGTAAGTAATTAACGTAAGTAAATTGGTTGGACACTTTAATCAGTAAGCTATCAAACTATCCTTCAATTTTGATGAGCAGTGTAAAATAAATGTTAATCTTATTTTGATATTATAGATGCTTATTTATTTGCATATCAGTTTTGTAAAAAAGTATGTTATTTTTATGAAGATTTATTAGTGTTTAATTACCTAGGCATATTGTGTCAGAAATATCTTCAAGATAACTACAAAAGAACTTGTACTTCTTGCTAGAGGACATCATACATATGTATAAATATTGTTAATTTCTAGTAAAAATACTAGGAGTGTGAAGACTTCTTCACCACATAGATGGCTTTAACTCGTCTAAAATATAATAGTATTCCTTTGCTTCGTTTCTGTATGAAGATATTTGAGAAGTAAATCAGTAAATTTATACCAAAGGTGTATTTATGTATTTTGAGTAATTTTAATAAACTGGAGGTCCCTTGCCCAAGAAATTAAATGAAGGTTGAATGTTTCATAATATTATAAATAGATTTTGTTAAGAATAGTGACTTTTGTAGATACATATTTGAAATTTACATCTATCTCATTACACAAAATTTTAAATTTATAATTTCAGGACCTCCTGGACCACCTGGCTATCCAGGGTATGTTGGCTTGCCTGGTAGGAAAGGAGATCCAGGATTGCCTGGAGTTCCTGGTCTTAAAGGATTTGCTGTATGTAAATTAATTTTTAAGCCATGCACTTTTTTCCCCTTCAAGTTATTGAATTTGCAAATAATTTTCAAGATAGGTATTAAATTCAGATTGTACCTATCAGTCAACAAACAGTCTTGTACAATTTTACTTTTCCTTTTAAAATAATAATTTAATATCATTCTATTGTGATAACTAATATTTTCAAATGAGATAACTGACTATTTAAGGCATTAGTGCCTTCCTCCGTATTTGAGAAATATAAAAATTAATGAAAGAAACCTGTAGCAGGCATACTAAGGAGTTAGAACTATTTAGCACCAGAAACATATTTTTCTACTTTAAAGTTTCTAGCATTTTATCTTCTGATAAGAGATTTAAGATTTAACTAAGGAATTGAACTAAGAAATTGTCTTTGTAATGAGAGTTATGATCTGGTCTATAACAGACTAGGTCATTAAATATTCAATAAATCTCAACAATCATAACTAAA